GGGGGGGGGCATCTGCCTCAGCCGGTTAGGGGTGAGAGAGATATAGGGTAAGAAAGAGAGAGAGGGAAGGATGGAAGGAAGGAAGGAAGGAAGGAAGGAAGAACATAGTAAGAGAGGGAGAGGGAAGAAAGGACAGAGAGAGAGAGAGAGAGAGAGAGGAAGAAGAAAGGAAGGACACAGGGAGAGGGAGAGACAGAGGGCAAGAGAGAGAGAGACATAGAGAAGGAAGGACAGAGAGAGAGAGAGAGAGAGAGAGAGAGAGAGAGAGAGACAGAAGCAGGAGACTCCCAACCACAGATCCAGGGAGGAGGAGGAGGTGATAGGAGACTCCCAGGTTTCTTCCCCCTAAAGGCAGTTGTTTCCTCCCTGGGTCTCCTAGTGCTGCTCTTGGTGGAACTGTTGTTCTTCTGTAAATAACTCAGAGTCTGTTTGAAGAGCTGGGAGATAACTGTTTCTGTGATGTGTCGCTTTATACAGTGGGGGAAATAAGTATTTGACCCCTTGCTGATTTTGCAGGTTTGCCCACTTACAAAGAATGCTTATTTTTCCTCATCAGATGGTTATCAATTTTTACAAATTCATATGATGTGATTTTCTGGAATTTTCTTTGGGATTCTGTCTTTCACTGTTATAATGTACATATGATTAAAGTTATAGATCGTTGCATTCTTTGTAAGTGGGCAAACCTACAAAATCAGCAAGGGGTCAAATACTCATTTCCCCCCACTCTAAATAAAGTTTAACTGTATTACCGGTATTTTCCAGCCCCAGATGCATGCTGCGTTCGAGTGCCACGACACGCGTGGGACTTTGAGCACCCACGGCCTGCCGGGGCTCCTGGGCTGGTTCCTGCAGCTTCTGCTGCAGATCCGGAAACTGGATCAGACCTCGGTGTAAGAACCGGGCAGAACCGGGCGCCATCTTTAGTAATAAGGTTATTGATGCCTCAGTAAGGGTTGGAGTCCCCGGGGGAACCAGGACCAGAGGGTTCTGGGTTTGATACCCCGGGGGAACCAGGACCAGAGGGTTCTGGGTCGGAGTCCCGGGGGAACCAGGACCAGAGGGTTCTGGGTTGGAGTCCCGGGGGAACCAGGACCAGGACCAGAGGGTTCTGGGTTGGAGTCCCGGGGGAACCAGGACCAGAGGGTTCTGGGTTGGAGTCCC